GTCTGTGACGTAATTGAGGTGTTGAATTAAATAGACTTCGTCATACTCAACAACTCCTGAACGCAGAGTTGCAAAAACTGTTCATTTCCTATTGTAATGCATGCACAAGCAGTATTTAGCGCCTCGGACCCAAAGCATTAGGTTGCAGGTTTAATTCCAACCGTGGTCAAGTCAATTTTTCAACTTGCTCGGTTGCTTACACAGAGGAAGACGATCACAATATTGATTCATAAAAAAGTTATTTGCTCAAGCGAATAAACATTCTATTGCTTTCGTGGGGATTATAGAGGCTATTCAAGGACTGTGGGGAACGTTGAATGGGGTTTTTGGTTATATATTCATTGCAATTAAACTTGTACAACCTGTTGATTTTCCCGTGGAATATTGCGACATTTCAGTAAATTTACATATCACAATTCACGTGAATACGTGAGCCTACCGTATAAAAGTGAGCATGAACTGTTAGTTCAAGGTTATTGATTAACATTTCGACTCTCAACCTGAATATCGCTCATTCATTATTAACAGGTATCGTACCTTTCATTTTATAATTTGTGTTGTAACTATGGATGGTTCAGTACCACAGGTTTTAATTTTTGGCTATTCGTTTGTCCGTATGCAGAATGACTTAGATAATGCATTTGATTTACGTGCCAAACAAAATTTAATTTGGCGTCTTCCGCAGGCGTGTATTTACACGGCGTGGGCGGTCGCACTGTTGACAAGGTCTTTAAATATGACCTGCCATATCTAAAAAGTCAACGGCCGGACATTATTATGGAATTAGGCACAAATGACTTGTCCGTTATGTCTCCTGAGGCGGCTGGCTCGCGTTTGAAAGAATTAACCGTATTTTTACGTGATACTCTGCATGTTAGTGTTGTCGTTGTTTGCCAAATAATTGACCGTTATATCTCACATTCACAAACACCTGATAACGTTTTTAACAAAAATGCAGCACTTTTGCGGCAATATTTATCTGTGGTGCTTGATCAGACGCCTGGTGTTCTCCTATGGGAACATCGGCCATTCCATAAAGCTGGACATAATTTACTATTTCCGGATGGGGTGCACTGTAACCCAAAAGGGCAGTTTTATTTATATAAAAGTTATCGGGGGGCCATCCTGAAGGCTCTCAAGTTTTTACATTAATTGCCCTTGCTCGGGATTTTACCACTTTTTCCCAGCCTGGATCTATGTTTGCGTGTTTTTGTTTATGTTTGTTATATTATTTGTTGGTTAATACTTCTCACCATTTGATGTTTGATGTTTAATATGATAGGTTTATACTGGTGATCTTTGTTTTTATATATGATGATATTTATTTTATTATGGACATGTTATGTACTATTTCTTGTTAAATGTTACGATTGATTATTTATTCAAACAAGTGTTTCCCCCTTTTTGGGAGCACTTCTTGGTGGCTAAAGGTAACACCCTGAGGCAATGAGGAATAGAACTTATCCTTATGGGTAAGATCTAAGCATGAATGTTTCGGGAGCACATATGGTTATGGCTGTTATGACCCCTGTTGAGAACTCAGCAATTACATTCAGTGGGGGAATTTACATACGTGATCGCACGTAATATGCCATGGTTGCCTCTCCACTAATGTATTAGTATGCTTACATGGGATAGCAATGTTTACTGCAGATGCCCTTTGTTGGGTTCAATACACAAATGGTTGCCATCATGTTGTTATGTGCTGTTATACCCAATTTTGCATTCGGCTGCCTTGTGCCGAGTTGTGGTATGCCATGCTCATATGAAACCTGTCTTGTCCGCTCATAATTTGAGTTTTCTTGTTGGTGTATATGTGCTTGTTGTGTGATATAGTGTTACATAGTGACCTTCATTCCTAAATAATATATTGGTTGCAAGGGCTTGTTCTAGTTTTTCTTTAGACTATGCCTGCCACACGTCCGAGTACTCGGATACAACGTCGTGCCAATCCTTCAACACCAGGGTCTCGACGAACATCCAATCGCAATGCAGCCAGACTCTTAGCACCCAATACTTATGTATCTTTGGACTCCCCTGATCAGGCTATTTCTTCTGTGGCCTCTGGCTCCCTGGATCCGGCAAATTCTCCCCAGGCTGTCGCACCTCTTTCAGGTATAGCAGATGAAACCGTAACCAGGATTGCGTCGGCGGTTGCCCAGGCAGTTGTTGCAGCAATATCTCCACCAGTCCATTCCATCGGTTGCTGATACCATGGAGGTACCCATTCATACTAGCAATGAGACTGATGCCCAAGTGCAGGGGCCGGTGGCATCAGCCTTAGAGCACCTTACAGGTGAGCACGTTAATATGGCGGTTGTGCGTCCAGCATCATCTGGTTCTGGTTTCCCCTTAATTCGGTTAACATTCCTATCGATGCCCTGGTCAGTCCTGAAGTGAAGGCTAAGATCTGGGCTAATGAGTTCATTGATTTTGGTTCTCTCTTAAAACCACATGTTGGGGAAACACGATACCAGCTTTCTCTTGACCGGGAGAACAATTGGTTCCCACACTTTCTTTAGAGCCAGCAAATAAAACTAAACCTATAACCACTATTGATGCGTGGACTTCAGCCTTCCAGATTTTCGTGGCAGTTTACACCAGTAAATTTCCCCAGCACCAGCTGGCCAGAAGACTGGAAAAAAAGTAACATTGTCATTTTGGAGCTTTTTCCCATTGTCCTTAGTGTCCTTTTTTTTTACGGGGTAACCTCATGCGAAACAAGCGTATATTATTTTATACCGATAACGCTGCGCTAGTCGAAATCATCAATAAGACGACATCTAGGAACCTACTGTGATGGTCTTTGTCCGTCAGCTGGTGCTAGCCTCCGTGAAATTTAATATCTTATTTCGTGCCAAGCATGTTCCTGGTTTCCGGAATACTTTGACTGATGCTTTGTCGCGTTTAAAGGTTTCCGCTGGCGCTGGCGCTGGTCGGCGTACAGAGTTATCCATCGGTGAATCCCAAAAAGCTCCTTCCGCAAAATTGGCAGAAATAACCTCTTATCTTGTACAAGCAAGTTTGCAGCCTTTGTCAGTCCCCACCTACCGCAGGGCTTGGCGGTTATATGAGCGTTTTCCCCACGAATCACTTCGTGGGGCCGTTGTTTCGCTTCCGTTAAGCCTTACCGATTTAAGTTTATTTATTGCTTACATGTTTAAGTATCAATATGCGCCATCTACAGCTCAAACATATGTCTCCTCTCTCGGATATAGCCATCGCCTGGCCGGTTACCCAGACTCCACCAAGGTTTTTTGGGTTCTGGAAATGCTAAAAGGCTATAAAAAGTTAGGTGCGCGAATCGATACACGATTGCCCATTACGTTACCTATTCTTCGGCGTGTTCTCCATCAGGTTCCCATGCTATGTTCTGGCGAGTTCGAGCGGCGCCTCTTTACTGCCATGTGCTCTACTGCCTTTTTTTTGTTTTTGCGCATCGGGGAAATTACCACCTGCACTCGCTCCCCGTCTGTTCTTCGATCGGACAACGCCATCCGGTTTCATCTTGGGTTTTAAGCTTACTTTTCACGATTTCAAACATTCTTATAACCAACACCCTGTTGCATTGTCACTGTTACGTCGTTCCGATATATGCCCAGTTCAATACTTACTGGAATATTTATCCGTACGAGGCGCATCGGATGGCCCGCTGTTCAGGATGCCTTCTGGTTCTGCGATGCCACGCGCACACTTCACTAAATTTTTATCGTTGCTTTTTCATAGCAGTGGTCTCGATGGCGCGAAATATAAGGGCCACAGTTTCCGTATTGGCGCGGCGACTTACGCGGCAGAATGCGGGTTTTCCGACCCGCAAATCCGCGCGATGGGGCGCTGGCGATCCGATGCTTTTCTTAAATACATTCGCACACCCAGCTTAAGTTCAGCTTTATTATAATTGCGATTACATGTCGCTGAATTCTTCGTGGATTATATCTTTAAAACATGAAGTGATTATGATGCTTTGTTGCTGTAGCGTGGGCAATGCAGGGGCTGTGTTCACGCTCGGCGTCAGAGCTTTGCTTCTAGTAGTTTTGTCTCCACTTTATTATTTTTTTCGCGGTATCTTAGCCATTAGGTATAGTCACTCATATTATCCCTATTTCTACCAAGTTTTTCTACCTAGTTTATACCTGCTTGGGTGGCAATTTTCGCCCGGATGGGGTGGGGTGCCTCATTATAATCGGCTTGTGGCGTTTTTAAGCGCCCCACCCTTTTTCTGTGCTTGGCATAATTATAGAATATTGTAACAATTTTCTGTAATTTGCTACATTTGCTTAATAAACCGGCATTGTGTTTTGGCACACTGCCATTTATTTATCCAAACCGGAGTATGTTATAATTCTTTAAATACGGTCCTCACACAGAAAACAGAGCTCACCCGGTCTATCATTGCCACCAGAGTATTGGTCTTCATAAATTTATTTTACTATATGAGCTGCACCGCGAAAGCGATAAAAGTTATAATTAGTGATAGTATATCAATATATAATATAATAATATGATAATAAATAAGTAATAGCTAGTTAATGTTATTATATTAACTATATTACTTAGTTTATCGTTTTGTGTTGTTTATCTATAACACAATAGAAGCAGTCGCAACAGCAGCAGAAGAATGTGATCTGGGCCAATCTGTGCCTGGATGATGAGGTACGGAAAGCGCTGATTACTACGTTAAAACAGTATCAAAGCATGTCAATTTATTAACTATAGACCTGAAAACTAAAATAGCTAAAACTAAGTTGATATCTAAGTTATCTTTACAACAACAAAATTTGCATAGCTACTATACATGCGTTCCTAACTAGGGTAGTGACTAACAATACTACATTTCCTTTTAATGGTATGATTTAAGAGACTTACAATTAACATGTCGAGCATTAATTAATAGAATGCACAGCCTGTAAATTACAGGCCATACAACGATGTACTTGAACACGATGTAAAATCCATGATCATGTAAAGACTGAAACCGAGTAGATGCATATATGGTAATTTCAGCGCTTAAGGAGTATAGCTGCAATAAAAGCACCTATTGCCACAAGAACTCCACCAACTGCGTAAACATTTCCTGTGGTGGTTTTCCACCATCCCTTAATATCTGGCTCTATTGTTGAACCTTCTCTCGTGTTTGATTCTTTTCTACGTTGCTCTTCGAGGTCTTCCTCTTTCTTCTTTCTTTCCTCCAATTGAGATTTCTCTTTTTCACCACGAACAGGTTGTAGATCTTTATCATCAAAAAGATTACGCAGTGCTTGATGGCAAACTTCTCCCTTCTTCTCATCAATGATGGCGACCACAGAAGAAATATTCTCCAGATTCATTTCAGTTGCCAGCATCACTGGTTCTTTGGACAGGGACAACTTCCACTCCAGGAATTTATCTTCAGAGAGTAGTGTGCTTTTGCTATGCAGGTCCCTCCGGCCTCCATACCACCGTGTTTCTGTTGCATCCAAGATAATCTTCTTTACACTCTCTGTCGATATTTGGCTCTTGGAGTCCACTTTAGCTCCGCAGGCTCCACTTAGATCCGCACCAACTGCTCCTTCTACCGAGTTATCAATTTTTTTGATGCTTCGAAACCTTCAGTGCAGGTTTTTTCCTCAACTGCCCACCAACATAAGCTGAAGTGACCACGAAATGACCGAAACGATTGAAAAAATTCATAAACGCTTCTCTGCATTTTTCGTCGTCTGTATATTGGTCAGGTAATTTCCCAACAGCGGACACAAAATTATTGGTGAAGGAGATTTCCTGCGACTCAAAATTTCCAATAACAATCTTAACAATTCGATGTTCTGTCAACGATATATTCGTGGTCTTCGTAGACTTGTTACTGCCATTTTCCTTCTGATTTGCACTCGCTCTGAAGTTAGGTGCCATTTTCAACATGCTCTGTGCAATATCAAGACTTACGCCGAGATTTTTCAATCTATTCTCTACGAACAATTCATCGGACTGAAATTTCCTTTGAAATTCCTGCGTCTCATTAACTTTTATGATTTGAGCACAACTAGGGATATTAAAACCATACTTCGTTTCATTCACAGCTGAAAACTCGAAAATATCAGAGGACACGGTGTTGTCCAATAAGATATTATATCCTCGACCAACCAGTTCAGCTGAAAAAAGGGATGTGTACATGAGCAAGCTTATCCGAGTTTAAACGAAGCGTAAAAAAAGTTGGTAATGTGTAGTTATACTGGCAATATAATTTCTTTGCTTGTCAACCTTGTTTCACATTAGTCGCATACACTTGAGCGAATTACTGTGGTAGGGCTGTTGACGTCACGCCAAATATTTGAGGTCTATGGAGGGTCGGTGATATTCATGTTCATGCAGCCTGTTCGCAGATAGCTCAGCGTTGAAGCGCCACAAAATATGCCCTGATAAGGCAATTATTTGATCCTGTTGTAAATAATACTCAATATATCAGAGTAAAGGGAGACTTAAACAAACAACGGGTTTAAAAAGGGTAGTTACAAAACATAGCCGGATGTCGCTCAGATTACTAAAAGTACTGTCCAGAAATAACCTAACCGCAACTCAACCGCAACCGCAACCGCAGTGTTACCATCTTGTTCGTTCTTCAATTCTACCAAAATCTGTGTAAACGTCATCAGTCGATACCACGGTATTTTGGTCAAGTGTTGGCAGAGCAAATATCCCGTGTCTCAGAAACGAGGCTGTTAGTTTGCTTCATAAATCTTATTTATATTCCACGATATCTCAAATTCGTCCCGCTTCGTTAAATCTCGGGTATAACAACTAACTGCGCAATGAAGTAAACAGCCCCTAAGTTATTCTAAGTATACTGTTGACAACAATCATAAATGCACTAGCATTTTAACTTATGCATCTTTGTTGTCAAGAGTACTTTTTTGGGGGCCACACTGTATATAGGAACTTTGTTCCTGGAATAGATTACAGACAAATACGCGTGATGGCTGGGCGTTTAATTTTAGCCTAGTTATTCTATAGTATTTCTGCTTCATGATAAACTTCACTCCCAAGCACCCTTCGCATGTTCTATACTGACGTGAATGACAGTTTAAACTTTGTACAAGTAAATTAATAAACGGTATCCAAACTGTTTTAGTTAATGAAACATGAAAATTAATTTTAAAAATGTGTAATTTATCATTACCTGGAATACATGAATTCTTTTCATTTTTAATACCAAATTTTTGTTTCAGCATTTCGATACAATGGTCGGAAATCTCTCCGTCATAAAGACAATTTATTGCTGCCAATGTTACAGACTGTAATCGTCCTTCCTTTAACAAACCCATAGAGTTCATCCAGTTCCCAAGTTTTGAAACTTTCTCTTCTTGTGTTTTGTCGAGTTTGTTTTCTTTAACATATTTCATCACACAAGTGGCGATTGGACTCAAACCTTAAAATCAATTTTTACAAATTGAAAAATTTATTTTACAAATTTACGATTAGAAGAGTTATGTACGATTTACGACGCGGCCAGCTCGACGACGCACTTGCAAACAAAGAAACACCACACGCGAAAAAAAAGGTACTATGCAAAACTTGTGGTCCCACGACAGCGTTGACATTCTTACGACACCTTCAAATGAGGCATTAGCGACCTTAAGCATGTAGAACGCGAACGCGACGACGACGGCTATCAATACAATGGATCATTGAAAAGAAATGAATAATTAAAGACCAATGATGGGTTTTAGAAGTCGTCTTTGTTCTGTTTACAACGGGAAAACGCAACCTCGCAAGCCAGGCTCTTTTACCTACGCTCCACGGCCCACGCTGCGGCAAAGACCCTGGTCAAGGCTGGTCATGTGACCTCCCAAAATATGGGAGGTTTTTAATTAGCGCTTAGTTCATATTCATGGGAGGAGTGGCAAAGTCAATATACCATTTCTGCTATTTTTAGCACTTGTCACAATCCAGATGACTTTGTACTAACGCAACTAAAAATAGCGGTTCACGCAATAAACGAAATAAATACAGCTAGTGTGGCGCAGCAAAAAGCTAAAAAGAGCAATAAACCGAATTTAGATTCAAGTGCTATGTGTAGACTGTATCATCGTCGATAGAATCGGTTTTAGTATCGTCACAAGTTCAGTTGATATTCAATACAGACACTCGAAGGCCTGTCCTATCTTCTAAATTTGGGCGTTGATGAGCGAATTTAGAGGTCAAATAACAATAACGACACAGGTTATTTCGCTTTACGGAAGAACAGCGCTCAATATTCAGTCCTTAGAAACACGCTGTTTTAACTGATGTGATCTATGCGCTACTTGTGTCCCACCCATCCCCACACGGGAGAAGCGTAACAAAAGAATCACGTGACCAGCCTTGACCAGGGTCTTTGCCGCAGCGTGGGCCGTGGAGCGTAGGTAAAAGAGCCTGGCTTGCGAGGTTGGGGAAAACGTTGTTTTTTACGTCTTGCCTAGAACGGGTGCATTTCAGGACCCAGCGAGCCCTACCTCGAATTAGGCTCTATAGAATTGTCCTTAAACATAAACACAATGTTTTTTACGCCTTATATCTCACAAAATCGGTACAATTAATAATATAAAACAACAGTAGTATAGAGAAGGGGGGTTCTGGAGCAGGCGGTGCAGGCGGTGCACGAGGCACCGCCGATGATGTCGTCGAGTCTTAAATATTTTAATTTATTCAGGTAATTTTAATATAGTTGAGTTTTGCCGGTTTGTTACTCAGCAATTTCGGTTTATTTTCATGCGATTTCGCTACCGTTTATTTATCTACATCGTTTGGTAGTGTCTGGTTGCTTCATTACCGTTAGCTGTGTACAATTTTAGTTTATTTCACACAGTATATTGCTGATATGGTTACCGTTCATATATCTGTAGAGATTTCAAATTGCTGTCGTCTTTGTTTTCAAAAGGTAATTTGTGAGCGCTACGGTGTGCGCTACGGTGTGCGCTACGGTGTGCGCCACGGTGTGCGCTACTCCCACGCTATCTACAATCCATAGTTTATATAATTATGTCTATTTCGATACCGTTTGTTTATAGTTTTAGCTTATTTCAGTGTAGTCTTTGTTGCTGTTTGTTTATCTACAACTTCTAGTTTATATTATTGGGTTACTGGCGGTTTGCATTTATTATGAAATAAGCTAAAGCTTTACTTCTTTCACTAGATATCTATCTAAATATCTATAATAATAGATATTTGATTTTAATTAGTATTTTATATTATGAGTGAAAATGCAAATTGTACCATAGAACAAACAAGAACGAACACGTTCGAGCAAACACCGCGGAAAAACGTCTGCGCACGCGTCAACTCTGCCTGTAAGTGACATTAAAAACAATTAAAAAGCGGTTCCGAACGTTTCCGAAGGCTAAAAATGGCGGTAAAAAGGAGTGATTTCATTCGTGTCTTCAAAGCCATATTTCGAGGGCATAAATAAACATTGCATTATAGAAACTAAGAGAAAAAACGTCCAGAGAGTCCTAGAAGTGGCATCCTACAAAAACACCTGTAAAAGGTGACTGTTAACAAAGTTTTCGTCTCAAACATTTTGTTTATCAAATAAGCAACGACAGTTTCCGAACTTTTAATTTAGACACGTTTTATTAAAAAAAAATATGTCGCCAGATACGAGACGTTTGCCGTGTTCTCAATAATTGAAAATTAAGATGTATTTTACAATTTAAATAGATTAGAAAGCTTAACTTTCCGCGTGTTTTCTTAACTTTCAGGTTTAAACTTTTGCTTTCGAAAAATATTCTAAAGCTACTTCGTAAAAAATGAAAATTTACCGTGAATTCCATTTCGTTCGATACTCTAAATGCTACAAGGCTTTTAACTTATGTTCTGTCTGGCTGTCTTGTATATTTTTTATTTTCTTAACTTATATTTTATCAAATAATGGGCATGTTTTGTTCCAAAATTTATATTTAGATTTACCATCATATTTCGATATTTCGGCGCGTGCGCAGACATTTTTCCGCGGTGTTGTTCGAGCACGTTTAATAAATAGTTGTTAGTGCGCATGCGTGATACCTATTTCATTAAATCTTCACCCAAAATCAAACGGTGAAGGCTTTGTGTATATATACGGCGGTTTGATCCTAAACTTCATTCGTCGGTTTCGTCCTGCAAATTCGAACGTCGGTTATTTTTGCGACTAGCGCGAGAAATACTAAAGACAGTTCACAGAGGAGATTAGGTAAGATGCATTAACTAAAGTTCAATTATTATAAAAAATACTAAAATTTAGTTCAATTATTATGAAAAGCACTAAGAAATCGCTTCTTAGTAGTTGCTGTGCCCTTGTTTGCCACACCTATGAAGAAATATCTGAGGTGTCCATTGGGAAAGTCATGCAACGAACGGTTTAGTTGTTAATAGTGCAAAGAAGCCGATTCCTAGTAGTTGCTGTGCCCTGGTTGGCTGCACCTATGAAGAAATATCTGAGGTGCCCCTTGGGATAATCATGCAATGAACGGTCCAGTTGTTAGTTCGAATAAATCGCTTCTAAGTGTTGCTGTACCCTTGTCGCCTGCACCTGTGAAGAAAGAATCTGAGGGGCTCCTTGGGAAAGTCATTCAACGAACTAGCGGTGGCTGTACAAATTTTATTCAGTACTTCTGTCACAATAAGATGCTAAAAGTGTTCTGTTTATATTTAATAGTTTGATAATTATCATCGTTAAGTTGAAATCCAAAGAGTTGCTGTATTGAGGGTAAGTGTTTACAATTTCAACTAGTTTGAGTTGTCCCCGCTTGGGAATGTCTAGCAACGAACTGGTGGTTGTAGACAGAGAAGTTTATTTAGGGCTGTCTGGCGACAAAGCCATTACCTTCGCATGCGTGATGTTTTAATTTTATTCCCCCACAATAAGATGCTAAAGGTTATGTGTTTATATTATGCTACAGGTGTTGACGTGTTGCAGTTGCTAAAGGAGAATTCAATTTTCAATTTATAGAATGTCTTTTACATGCAAAGTCTGCACCAAGAACTTTACGCAGCTGAGAAGTTTAACTCGTCATGAACGATCCGTGCATGGAGAGAAGAAGTTTGTCTGTGATCAATGCAGTGCGTCTTTTACACGGAACGATGATTTAAAGCGGCATAAGAGGCGGCACGAAAGAACAATCACACATATCTGCAAAAATTGTAGGAAAGAGTTTCATCGTCGTGATAATTTAGTGGGACATCAAGTTCAATGTCAACGGAATCCTTTGAAAAGAGGATGTGACGAAGACCGAGACGAAGACGATAGTAGTCTGGGACTTTTTTAGTCCCTAAAGCTCTGGATGTATATTCGTCTACGACGAAGAACCTCTACCTCGGGGGAAACGAAGAAAGTACATAAGGGATGGTTAACATTTTAGTTTGTGTGCATGCACTGGACTACGAAATTAAAGTACCGCGTAGATGTTTAATGGAATATTTGTCCATATTCGCGGGTTGGGACGCCCAGTCAGCAATCGGGCCATCGGGCCTAATAGTGCCATAGAAGGCCATATAGGGCCCAAACGGGCCTATGAGCACATGCTCATAACTGCTCATGAGCAGTTGCTCATCTGTTCATAGAACTGCATTGCTGCTCCCCGTACGCTTCTATACTTCAACTTTAGGACAATGCTGATCGTTCCGGGACACCAGGGACTAAAAAAGTTTTCCTGGAAAATTTAAAGTGTCCCTTCAGGGACTTTTTTAGTCCCTGGTGTCCCTGTAAGATTTAAAGTGTCCCTTCAGGGACTTTTTTAGTCCCTGGTGTCCGTGTAAGATTTAAAGTGTCCCTTCAGGGACTTTTTTAGTCCCTGGTGTCCCGGAACGATCAGCATTGTCCTAAAGTTGAAGTATAGAAGCGTACGGGGAGCAGCAATGCAGTTCTATGAACAGATGAGCAACTGCTCATGAGCAGTTATGAGCATGTGCTCATAGGCCCGTTTGGGCCCTATATGGCCTTATATGGCACTATTAGGCCCGATGGCCCGATTGCTGACTGGGCGTCCCAACCCGCGAATATGGACAAATATTCCATTAAACATCTACGCGGTACTTTAATTTCGTAGTCCAGTGCATGCACACAAACTAAAATGTTAACCATCCCTTATGTACTTTCTTCGTTTCCCCCGAGGTAGAGGTTCTTCGTCGTAGACGAATATACATCCAGAGCTTTAGGGACTAAAAAAGTCCCAGACTACTATCGTCTTCGTCTCGGTCTTCGTCACATCCTCTTTTCAAAGGATTCCGTTGACATTGAACTTGATGTCCCACTAAATTATCACGACGATGAAACTCTTTCCTACAATTTTTGCAGATATGTGTGATTGTTCTTCGTGCCGCCTCTTATGCCGCTTTAAATCATCGTTCCGTGTAAAAGACGCACTGCATTGATCACAGACAAACTTCTTCTCTCCATGCACGGATCGTTCATGACGAGTTAAACTTCTCAGCTGCGTAAAGTTCTTGGTGCAGACTTTGCATGTAAAAGACATTCTATAAATTGAAAATTGAATTCTCCTTTAGCAACTGCAACACGTCAACACCTGTAGCATAATATAAACACATAACCTTTAGCATCTTATTGTGGGGGAATAAAATTAAAACATCACGCATGCGAAGGTAATGGCTTTGTCGCCAGACAGCCCTAAATAAACTTCTCTGTCTACAACCACCAGTTCGTTGCTAGACATTCCCAAGCGGGGACAACTCAAACTAGTTGAAATTGTAAACACTTACCCTCAATACAGCAACTCTTTGGATTTCAACTTAACGATGATAATTATCAAACTATTAAATATAAACAGAACACTTTTAGCATCTTATTGTGACAGAAGTACTGAATAAAATTTGTACAGCCACCGCTAGTTCGTTGAATGACTTTCCCAAGGAGCCCCTCAGATTCTTTCTTCACAGGTGCAGGCGACAAGGGTACAGCAACACTTAGAAGCGATTTATTCGAACTAACAACTGGACCGTTCATTGCATGATTATCCCAAGGGGCACCTCAGATATTTCTTCATAGGTGCAGCCAACAAGGGCACAGCAACTACTAGGAATCTGCTTCTTTGCACTATTAACAACTAAACCGTTCGTTGCATGACTTTCCCAAGGGACACCTCAGATATTTCTTCATAGGTGTGGCAAACAAGGGCACAGCAACTACTAAGAAGCGATTTCTTAGTGCTTTTCATAATAATTGAACTAAATTTTGATATTTTTTATAATAATTGAACTTTAGTTAATGCATCTTACCTAATCTCCTCTGTGAACTGTCTTTAGTATTTCTCGCCTAGTCGCAAAAATAACCGACGTTCGAATTTGCAGGACGAAACCGACGAATGAAGTTTAGGATCAAACCGCCGTATATATACACAAAGCCTTCACCGTTTGATTTTGGGTGAAGATTTAATGAAATAGGTATCACGCATGCGCACTAACAACTATTTATTAAACGTGCTCGAACGTGTTCGTTCTTGTTTGTTCTATGGTACAATTTGCATTTTCACTCATAATATAAAATACTAATTAAAATCAAATATCTATTATTATAGATATTTAGATAGATATCTAGTGAAAGAAGTAAAGCTTTAGCTTATTTCATAATAAATGCAAACCGCCAGTAACCCAATAATATAAACTAGAAGTTGTAGATAAACAAACAGCAACAAAGACTACACTGAAATAAGCTAAAACTGTAAACAAACGGTATCGAAATAGACATAATTATATAAACTATGGATTGTAGATAGCGTGGGAGTAGCGCACACCGTAGCGCACACCGTAGCGCACACCGTAGCGCTCACAAATTACCTTTTGAAAACAAAGACGACAGCAATTTGAAATCTCTACAGATATATGAACGGTAACCATATCAGCAATATACTGTGTGAAATAAACTAAAATTGTACACAGCTAACGGTAATGAAGCAACCAGACACTACCAAACGACGTAGATAAATAAACGGTAGCGAAATCGCATGAAAATAAACCGAAATTGCTGAGTAACAAACCGGCAAAACTCAACTATATTAAAATTACCTGAATAAATTAAAATATTTAAGGTTCGACGACATCATCGGCGGTGCCTCGTGCACCGCCTGCACCGCCTGCTCCAGAACCCCCCTTCTCTATACTACTAACAACCACTTTGCTATAGCATTTTTTTAAAGGAGAATTTCAGCCACGTCGTCGTCGTGTTGCCGTCCTACATGCTCAAGGTCCCTATTTTCAGGCTTACCGACGACCTGAAAGCAGCGGCAACGCGTGATATAGCAAGTTGAACTGCATTATCAGCTAAACCACGGGGGGGTTCTTGCATAAATGAAACGTTTGTATGATTATTTCAATGCCCTGACAGAATAACAATTTCCCATAGCTTATATCAAGCAAAATATTTGACTAGCGACGTTGAGATGACCGCACCGTAGATCGTAAACTCTCTGCTATATAGAGGAAAGCAATAATGTTTGACCACTGACAGAATCCAAAGTCGCAACCACGAGAAGTTGATCCGGATTAAATTAAGGGGATTTTGGCTAATTTCAACTTTCTAATTATTATTAAAAAAGCTTACTTGTACATATCTAATATCATCGTCATTTTTTTCCTGATGATGACTATATTTTAGTCGAAACGTCGAAAATTATATTTTTCAAAATGTTTACTTTTTAAGGAGTTTCTATTGTTGCATATATTCTTTAACTTGTAGTGCAAATTAAGGTAAACGAAATTTGATTGGCTTAGAAACTTGTAAGCCATAGGAAAAAATGTGTTTCCGCTAAATAAGGATTCCCAATTTCATCATGGTTCAATGTTGATTGGAAATTGACCAAGCGTGATATTTAACAGTACAGACTTAACTGGCCAATCACTAATTTTTTTATATATACATCCTATATGATCGTAAGTTTTGAGCCAATCAAAAGGATTTATCTATTTCATTTTTTTGCAATGTTTGGAACTTTAACCTTTTAAGGACTGACTGTCCCTAATATGTCCATGGAATATTTTTAAAAGGTTAATTTTTACATTTCGTGAAAATATATACTTATTACGCGTTGACCTCATTTTCCTACCTCCTTTTGCAGCGTCGCTAAAAGCATTTGAAAATTCGTCCTCTTCATCAGACAATTCTTCACTTCGAGAATCTTTCGCCATAATTTTATGACCTTCTGTTGGCCTGTCCTTTTTAGCTCTTGTGAAACAAGAATTAAACACTAAGAGGCCAAAATGATCATTATTTCGACGAAGAAGCTTCGCACAGGCGTCGTATAAATTCTTAGGCTGTCTCTCGCCATTCGGAAGAATTGTAAAATCACCTTTCAGTTTCTCAAGTTCATGGTCATCGAAGTCATTTTCTATCAATACGACAGGTGCTGACACGCCAAGCACTTCAAACACGATAGTTAAAATGGTATCTTTCCTTTCTTTCATCTTGTCTTTCCATTTACTCAAATTCCGGTACCCAACAGAGCAGCAATGTGTTACAACCACAACAAGATTTGAATGACTTTTGTCAACCACTTCAAGAAATTTTATCCCTCTAAGACATTTGGAAAGATTGCTATTCTCACTCTTGATCCGGGTATCAAGCACGTTCACCACCAAAAAGACAAGATTCGGATAAGTAAGCTGTTCTGGTAAATCTGGGTGCGTTTGGAAAAATCTTTTGATGGAAACAAAATTACAAGCATCTTGCTTCACACCAGCAATATCGTTGAAACCTGGTGTATCTATAACACTCATTCTTAAATCACAAACCTCGTAATCTGGGTTGTCAGTGGTAAGTACATATTCACTTGTCGTTCTAGTTTCGGACTCAGAACTACTGGTGACCGCAACAGGGTTTCCTTCTCCTGTATCAAGCAAATGGTTTATTGTAGACGACTTTCCAACCCCAGTACTTCCTACCAACAAAATCATGGCAGAATTAAATGGACGTTTTATCTTTGCACTTGAAAATAGGCAGTGATAAAGCTTTGCTCTGGGTGGTGGGTCGGAGTCTCGATCAAGGTTTTCAAATAATCTCAGTTCCTCCTTAAAATCTTCAGCTGAAGCTGGCAAAGGTTTCAATTCACAAGGATTCGTTCCCATCGCCATTCAAATCTATCAAAAAAACCTAGGCAACAAAAATATGTCTTATTACCAGTGTGATTATGAAGTATTACATATATTATGAAGTGATAGATGATGATAGATGATAGAGTACTAGTTGACCACCACTAGCGACAAATTTTTCAAATATGTTGAGATCGTCGTTAATTGGTTAATCTAATGGAACAAATTGACGCTGTGCTATTCATTCGACAGTATATTTAGCCGATTTGTCCTATTGTTTTTAACATTGCATATAAAAGAAAACTCTGATAATCTGACAATCCTTAGTCAACTTGTGCGATATCAATGGTTTTGAACTACACAGATCTGCTGCACGCGTCACCTGATAGAATGTGCAGAAAATCCGAACAACATTAATATTTTACTTCCGCCGAAATTTGTATCTAAATGTCAAACTATAGCCTCTCGAGTTTATAGTTAACTGTGCAATATAAAGTACCGAAACGCTAAAATATAACTCAGGATTAGTAGTTGATCGCTTATAATATGTTGCCATTGCTACTCCAAATAGTTGAAAATAACATAAAAACGATGACGTAACGTATAAAATCGTTACTATATTAATGAGGCTTGTCTCAATTTTGTGACACGCATGGGTGGAAATCATGGCTTTAGTTTCCATGGCACGTTCAGCCCTGCAAATAGTTTTTCAATTGCACGGTTGCTTTCACTAGATTTAATCACTCAAAATACTAATCGTACTGTGCTCGCACGCATTTGATCACGAATCCAAATAATATGGCGGATAGGATTATCGTTGATAAATACAAATGAGACAATATACGGTTTACTTGATAAAAAAAATTCATCAAGTTGATCTATTTTGGTGTTATATAAAACAAATAATGAAATGTTCATGACTGCAATGGTAAGAATATTTCAATTCGGTGAAAGATGGAATGCTCCATTCAACTCGGCTTCGTTTTTCACCTCGTGAAAATATTCTTATCATTGCATTGCAGCACATTTAATAGAATATATACATGGTTTGGAGACCACATAAAACAACAATACAACTCATTAACTATGTTGAGGTAGATTTATGCAAAAAATTGCACCTTTCTCATTACATGTCTATTGTATTTTTGCATAGATAAACCAATAGCAAACTTATAATTAACATATTTTTCAAGTGAAGGTCGATGAGCTTATAGAATAGACAATACAATAGACACGTGACGGGAAAAGAACCATTTTTTGCATAAACGTGGACAATAACATAGTTAAGGAGTTGTATTGTACTTTTTTGGCTATTTTTTCTACGGCTATTTTCAAAACCAGGTACGGGGAATCAAGGAAAGAACGGCGAAGGGAATGGGGAACGATAAAACAAGGAATAGGAAAAGCCAGTGGATTGCTGATGAACGTTATATAATATTAACGAAATATAATAAATTAAAATTTGATTGACAGTTAATGAAGTAGCACGTAATTTGACGCACATTATCGAGTATCCGGATAAGTTACCTTAGTTTTTACCGAAAAAGCGCGTGCTAACCTGTTTATAGCGAAGCTGTTTAGCTATCTGTAATTTGTATGAACGGATTGAACTACTGTTGTAGAACGTGAAGACCCGGCAAAGAAGTAAGTTATTATGTTATTGAATTTGGAACGCGCAGATACATCGGAGGCATTACTTGTTAATTTACATTTATATTCTTACACTTATACTCATATATAATTAAAAATTACTAGATCGAATAAAAATAATACTTGAAAATGGTTTATACGATTCCGTGTCTCGCGTAATACCCGTGTTGCTACCCTGATAATCCAGCCAGAATCTTTAAAAAAAGGAATGAGAAAAGCCGGAATCTTTAAAACACGGAATGAGAAAAGCCGGAATCTTTAAAACAAGGAATGAGAAAAGCCGGAATCTTTAAAACAAGGAATGAGAAAAGCCGGAATCTTTAAAACAAGGAATGAGAAAAGCCGGTGTCTTTAAAACGAAAGAGAAAAGCCGAAATCTTACGGCCGGAAGTTTGTAAGTAAATTAGTTACGCAATTTCCGCGCGTAATACAAAATATACCAATTTGGCATGGCTATATTTTCCGTATTTTACAAAATTTCGCAGCCAATGTACGTTTGGACCTGCTAGTTTATGTTGTGTTCGTTAGTGACAACTGTGCTTATTACAGGAAAACTTATATCTTAATCATTTATCTCAAGTACCATAGGCATAGGAAATCACGTTAACTAGATTTATGCATGGGTAAGGCATGCAGTTGGACCAAAAACTTGGCAGTATAGTTGACGCCATATGATTATGTATTATATTCATTATAATTTATGTGAACATATGTTAGTGAGAGAATCACGTGAGGGGATTCCTCTTTCCTTTTTGTTTTGTGTTTGTCTTGAAATACAACACATGGTATTTACTCCTCGTTTGAGTCCTTTCCTTTATACTGGCGTGAGGTATTCTGGCAGTAGGGAGCTAAAGGTTCGCAAGCCAAGAGCAAAGTCTACAAGCTAAAGTAAAATTCTGAGTTACTGGGAAAACATCTGTAAGTCGTCTTTTCTATTCGTATTTAGTTATTGTAAGGTGTGGTTCTGTCGGGAATTGACAGATAATATTCATATAGATCTTTATTATCTAATTAGGTATCGCATGAAGTATAGTATAATGATTGATGAGATGAAGATATAGGTGGTCACGAGAGAGAGACTGAGCAGTTGGACTGTGACGTTCAGGGAGTGAGTGAGAGAGATCTAATAGCCCGTGTGCTATCTAATGTTGTGACTAGAGAATTCGTGGGAAGTTGTAATAACCAGTTGGAATACTTAACGTGATTAACTACAAAATATACTATAAAACTTTGTGATTTTGTCGAAGATTACTTTAACGGAGGCAATTCTCGACATAGTGGCACCAAACCGACGGGATACATTGAACTTTTGAGCAAACATATATGAACGCTTGAACTTTGGAGTTAACATGGATGGAAAAGAACAAACCAATCTCGTGAACAAGTTGACGCAGTTGGAAATCGCAACAGAGAAGTCGAAGACACTGCTGAGAGCAGGTAAGCGAGTAGCAATTAAGCGACACCTCGTCGCGTTGTGCAAGCAACGGCCAACGAGGCCAATGAGTGCAGACGCTCCGCGGAAGCGTTAAAAATCGAACAAAAGGAAGATCTCGAAAAAATTAAGGAATGGAACGATGAGTTAGATCTGAAATTTTGACGCTGTAGACACGGCCATCCAAAATCTAGAACAATTCCTTTCTGAAGCCGAAAAGGCCAAAAGAGATCTAACGCACGCGGAAGAGTTAAAACAGGAACAGTTGTTGCATGAAGCGCGAATGAAAATGCAAGCTGAATTGTCTTCGGCCCCCAAACCTCAAACGGAAGGTAAAGAACCCAAAGTAGTTTCGACTGGGGCGGCAAAATTACCCAAACTCGTCATCTCCAAGTTTGGCGGCTCCTTTACTGACTGGCCGAAATTTTGGGGACAATTTTCTGAGGCGGTTTGACAAAAGTTCACTAGCACCAATGACGAAATTCACGTATCTGCTAGAGCTGCTGAACCGAAGGTGAAGCGTAGTGTCGAGTCTCTTCCCTTTGGGCTCGAGGGTTATAATAGAGCAAAAGCTATTTTGAAAGAGAAATTCGGCAAGGAGTCGGAAATCGAGAAATGTTACGTGAATGAGGTTTTGGATTTACCAAATATTTCGGGAACCAACCCTCGTAAGATTGCTAACTTTGTGATAGACTTACACACTCTGTTCAAGCACTTGAGACTATGGGGAAACTTAGCGATATAAAGGGGTACGTACCAATGACTCTAGATAAGATATCGGGAATTCGAGGGGATTTGGTGCGTGATGACCCTGAGTGGGAATCCTGGGATTTCGTAAAGTTAACGCATGCCGTAAACGAGTGGGTGAGGAGAAACCCCGTAACTAACTCTAGCGGGGAACGCGAGGAGAGCAGCTCGAGGAAAATGTTCCAATCTCGAAAGGAAAACCAGCGATTCGTGCCCATGCCCAAGGGATGTGTTTACTGCGGTGATTTAAACCATAAAGCCGTACAATGCGAGAAAATTAGTGAAGTAAACGAACGAAAGAAAATCCTAGCAAAAAAGGGGCTTTGTTTTAATTGCGCCATGAAACCCCATCGCGCTGCTGATTGCACCAGTAAATCTGCCTGCGGACATTGTAACAAACGTCATCACACTTCCATTTGCGATCAAACTGAGCAGCACGCTTCCGGAGATAAGAAGTTGATGACGGATGGTGGCAGTGGTGAGGGCATATTTCCTGTAGTCGTGATTAAAGTAAATGGATTAATTTGCCGTGCGTTAATAGACTCTGGCGCCGGGAGCTCTTACGCCTCAGCTCAGTTAATTAACACACTTGTCATCAAGCCGAGTGAAATTAAAAACCAACAAATTGATATGCTCTTGACATCACGCAAGGCAAAAGTTGAGTTATATGACGTAAAAATAACTTCTCTCGACGGAAGATACGAAATGGTGACACGATTAAGCAAGGTTGATAAGAGCGAGCTTCTGTTTATCGAAAACCCCGAGTACGAAAAGTTGATAAGGCGTTACCAACACCTTAGCGAGGTACATATGGATGATCACTCCACGAAAACCCAATTACCCATCCACGTCATCCTCGGAAGCGGCGACTATGCCCGAATAAAGACAGCTACGAAGCCTCTCATCGGGAGAGAAGGAGATCCAGTGGCAGAGAGAACTAAGCTTGGATGGATGATTCTAAGTCCTGGGACCGAGTTCGAGAAAACGAAGATGCTCATGACGCAGACCTCACAAGTAGACTTCGACAAGCTATGCCGTCTGGACGTACTTGGTATCGCAGACAGTGCAGAAAACGATCAGCTTCCTGTGTACCAGGAATTCCAGGAACAGCTCGAGCGAAGTTCTGAGGGATGGTATGAAACGGGGCTCCCGTGGAAACCAAATCACCCCCCGCTGCCTGCCAATGAAATGGGGAGTCGACGACGATTGGAGAATTTGGTAAAGCGACTAAAATCCAGTGGTCGGTACGACGATTACAACGACGTCATAAAGCAGCAGTTGGAGGACGGAGTGGTCGAGTTAGCTCCATCAGTAGCGAGTGACAGGGAATTCTACATCCCCCACAAAGCGGTCGTCAAGAACTCCGCAGAAACGACTAAGCTTCGGATCGTGTATGACGCGTCAGCGAGGGAATCCAAGACGTCGCCGTCTCTGAATGATTGCCTGAACCCAGGTCCCTGTTTGCAAAATCTTCTCTGGTCGATTCTTGTTCGATCTCGATTCCTTCCAATCCTGGTCACGGGTGATCTCCAAAAAGCGTTCCTACAGGTTAGGATTAAAGAATCCGAGCGTGATGCACTCAGGTTTCATTGGAAACCGCCGGGAAGTGATGACACAATTGTATACCGGTTCACGAGAGCGTTGTTTGGGCTAACGAGTTCTCCCTTCCTACTAAACGGTGTGTTGAGTGTTCATTTGAAGTCGTGGGAAACGAAGTGCCCTGCCCTAGTTGAAGAGATACGTAAGAACCTCTACGTTGATGATCTTATGACGGGGGGAGCAACGATTTCTACGGTAAAGGAAAAGAAGAAGAGAGCCAGTGAAATCTTCGAAGACGCCAAATTCAGATTGCACAAATGGCACTCGAATGTGAAAGAACTTGAGAGCCCATCAACGAATGACGACGAAGTCACGTTCGCAAAGCAAGAGCTCGGTGATGAGAAACCGCAGACCAAACTTCTGGGCCTCCCATGGGACAAGTCGACAGACCGAGTAGGTGTTACGCTCAGTTGTGGGGAACATGGGACGACCAAAAGAAGTGCGTTATCCCAACTTGCGAGAGTATACGACCCACTCGGATTGGTATCGCCAATGACGTTGCAGGGAAAGAACCTTTTTCGAGAGATGTGCGAGGCTCGTCTTCCCTGGGACGGTGAACTGCCTGAGACAACGAAACAACGCTGGGAGGAGTGGTGCAAAGGACTGCCTCGAAGCTACGAAGTTCCGCGTTCCTTAGCTCCGCATCAAGAGCCAGTGTCAGCCATCACACTACATGCCTTTGGCGACGCGAGTAAGGTCGGAGTGTCGGCCGTGGTCTACGCGGTTGTGGAGCAGGAACATGGAACAACACAAGGCTTGGTGTGCGCCAAGTCACGAGTGGCGAAGCGTGATCTCTCCATACCTCGTCTAGAGCTCGTCGCTGGACATATGGCAGTTAATTTGGTGTCGAACGTAGAAAGTGCAATAGATCAGCGAGCCGTATCGTCTGTCCATTGTTGGTTAGATTCCACAGTAGCGCTCTACTGGATTAACGGTCAAGGCGAATATCGCCAGTTCGTTGCAAACCGAGTGGCCAAGATTCAAGCACATACACGAGTGGAATGGCATCATGTACCGACGAAACAGAATCCCGCAGACGTGGGTAGTCGTGGTGGAAGTGTCGTTGGAAACGAACTGTGGAGTAATGGGCCCCAATGGTTAAAAGATCCTACCAAATGGCCGCCAAAACAAGTGCTCGAAGCTACGCGAGAGGTGAAAGAGATAAAACCGACGAAGAATCCACAAGCCTTGACGACGGTGAGACGACCAATAAGCCCCGATAGCCTTGAAGGACTGCTCATCAAGTTTTCCCTGCGGAAAGTGCTTAGAATTTGCGCCTGGATCAATCGGTTCGTGAAGAATTGTATGGTGACCCGTAAAAACCGGAAAATGGGACCGCTAGTGTCAGAAGAGATCGAAGATAGCGAGTTGTGGTGGATAAGAAGAGCGCAAAGTGAAGTCAAGGAGGGTCCAGAGTTCAAGGATATACGGCTACAATTGAACATACAGCTTAATGAAAGCGGAATTCTCGAATGTCGCGGTCGGATTGACGGAGATTACCCCATGTACCTACCCCGTAATTCCACCTTCACGAAAAAGGTAATCGAACGAGCGCATCTGGCAACACTCCATGGTGGGGTCGCTATGACCATGGCGAAAGTACGTGAACGGTTTTGGATACCAAAGTTGAGACGGTTGGTGAAACAAGTGCGAAAGGCTTGCCACGGGTGCGTAAGATTTCGAGCTCGAGCGTATGAGAAGCCACCACCTGGTAAGTTGCCAACAACAAGGACGCAAGGGTCAACACCGTTTCAAGTAGTTGGGGTGGATTTCGCGGGACCAATACGATACCGTACAAAAGCAAAGGCGGAGAGAAAGGCGTACCTTGCGCTATATGGGTGCAGTTTAACGCGAGCAGTACATCTCGAGATCCTGCGTTCAATGGAAGTAGCAGAATTCATACCGAGCTTGAAAAGATTGATCGCGAGACGTGGTCGGCCAAAGATCATATACTCTGACAACGCCAAAACCTTTAAGGCCGCTGACAAGTGGTTGAAGCAATCACGAAAGGATGAGAAATTTCATGCATTCCTGGCTGATAACGCAATCGAATGGAGGTTCAATCTCAGTCGTGCACCGTGGTGGGGAGGCCAATTCGAGCGTCTTATTGGCCTGTTCAAACAAGCGTTCTACAAAACGATCGGCAATGGAATACTGACATTGGAGGAGTTAGAAGAAGTGGTCTTGGACGTCGAGATTGCTCTCAACAATCGGCCGTTGACCTACCTCGAGGACGACATTCAATTACCAGTAATAACCCCATGCTCAATGCTGAGCATTAACCCCAATGTCCTACCAGAAGTCGACGCCCACCATCTGGGAGATAGTGAATTGCGCAAAAGAGCCAGGTTTTTACGAAGGTGTAAAGAAGCGATGTGGAATCGTTGGACGAAAGAATACGTCCGCAGTCTGCGCGAACGGCACAAACAACGAGTCAGTGGACAGAAATCCTACCCAAAGATCGGCGAAGTTGTCATGATTAAAGACGAAGACAAAAGACGTAACGTGTGGAAACTCGGAGTCGTGTGCGGCGTGATTGAGGGAAAGGATAACGTAGTACGGGGAGTTAGAGTACGGACTCCGAACGGCGACCTCGAGCGAGCAGTCCAGCATATCTACCCGTTGGAGTTGTCCTGCGACAGAAAGAAGTGGAGCCCTAACCCCGAAGCACCAATCTTTACCCCTCGCCCCACCCGAGACGCAGCAGTAGCAGCGAAGATGCGGTTGAAGCAAGACGCAGAAGTGGAAGAAGACTGCCAATGAACACATAATTTAGTTTAGTTAAATTTAGTTAAAATCATATGTCTTTTGTTATAGGAAGTGAACAATGAACTTCAAGAAAAAAAAAACGAAGTCATTCCCTTCATGGACATATACCTCATTTGAGCTATATGGGGGAGTGTGTCGGGAATTGACAGATAATATTCATATAGATCTTTATTATCTAATTAGGTATCGCATGAAGTATAGTATAATGATTGATGAGATGAAGATATAGGTGGTCACGAGAGAGAGACTGAGCAGTTGGACTGTGACGTTCAGGGAGTGAGTGAGAGAGATCTAATAGCCCGTGTGCTATCTAATGTTGTGACTAGAGAATTCGTGGGAAGTTGTAATAACCAGTTGGAATACTTAACGTGATTAACTACAAAATATACTATAAAACTTCGTGATTTTGTCGAAGATTACTTTAACGGAGGCAATTCTCGACAGTTCTAGAGTTACACTATATTCATTTAGGTTTATGTTATATTTGTTCTATTTAGTCGAACCACGTTCACGTTCAGGGTCACGTTTCACGATTTACATATCGTCAATTTCGGGTTTAAATATATAGATATATACAGATTATATACGAGTTTATGATCTATTATTGTCGTTACCATTAGCAAAAGTGTATCTACCCATTCTGCGTGCGTTTTGAACTGTTTTCCCCGCCTCAATTGTGCTCACACGTAACCATATTGGGATTATTGTTTGCGTTCGATGGTGTTAGAGTTTACACATATTATAATTTTGGCCCGCAAATAAGGTTTTAGTATTGGAAAAAACTTGCTGGCTGGACTCTCTAATATGTCTGATTTGTGCTAGAGCCCTCGAGGCTGAACTCGTACATACTAGGCGGGACAAAAAGATCAGCCCATTGTGATATTGTTGTGGAATTTAGTTAACACGTGTTTGAGCACACCAACCATAAGAATAGTCATTTACATAGTGCGCGCAGATATAGTGTTAGGGTCGTAAATTGTATATGTGTTGTAAAAGGAATTGTTATGTGATGTTAATAGAATAGTGTAATATAATATAACATAGGAAATGAAGGTTCGTGGTAGCACGTTGTAGCAACCGCAAAACCAGTAATAACGTAAACGGACGCAAATGTGGGCTGTAAGGGAGAAAAAACCACAGAAAAACATCCTGTGGTCGGTAAGAGATGCGTCGGAGAAATGCATCATTGTTTGGTAAAGCATCCTGTTTTAGTATTATAAATATAAGTTAAAATCATTGTTGTAAGTTAGTTGTGTATTAGAGCGTGAATTGTTAATTCCTGAATAAATGTAAAATTATATACAGTCCCAGTGTGTGAGATTGTGGACCAGCGAAGCGGAAAATCAGCCTTGTTTGGAGATTTTCAACATCTGGTCCTTCGAGCCGGATCGATAGTCGTGAAATAAGCGAAAGAACGTCAGGAAAATGTCGGAGATCACAACGAAAAAGAAGATGAGAGCCGGCCACAGAGGGCACGCAAGAAAATTGGTAAGTGCTGCTCGTGAGTTGGTATAGAAGTTTACGACGGACAACGCAAAACGGCCGTCAAGCAAATGAAGGTATCCCTTGAAGAGAGGATGGGGTTGTTAAGGAAGCTAGACGAGGAAATTCAAAACGTGTTGTGCGAGGGTGACTCGAGCGAAGAGGTCCTTTTGGAGGACATCGAAAGCGCCGCGAAGGTTCGGGCAGAAATGCAAGAGGCGGTGTTGATGATAGAAGAAGTTTTACAAAACGAAGACACGACTTTGGAGTCGTTGAATACGAGCCAACAGTCGCAGCAAGCACCGAGCGTGGCGACGGGAACGTCAAGTCGAGCGAGGCTACCAAAACTCGAGGTAAAGAAGTTTTCGGGGCGAATCCACGAGTGGCAAGAGTTCTGGGATAGCTTTAAGAGCGCTATCCACAACAATGCGAATCTATCGGACGTAGATAAGTTTTCGTATCTTCGAGGATTAATTGAAGGACCGGCCAGAGCGACGATTGCGGGGTTTTCCCTTACAGAAGAAAATTATAAATCAGCAGTGGAACATTTAGAACGTAGATTTGGAAAGCCAGTGGCAATCGAACGTGCCCACGTTAGCGAGTTATTGAAAGTTGCGGCAGTCCATTCAGAGAGAGACGTACGCGGGCTTCGCGCATTGTACGATATCGTGGAAACGCACTACCGTGGATTGTCGGGCTTGGGAGTGGACGAGAATACGTACTCGGGAATAGTCGTACCCATCCTGCTTGAGAAAATTCCTGACACGGTGCGACTAACGATCACGAGAGGGAAAGAATACTTAAACTGGACAGTGAACGATATGTTAAAGGCGCTCCTGGCTGAGGTCGAACTGCGAGAGGACTATCGGTTGACACCTACTGCGAAACCATTGGGGAAACACAGCCATGAAAACTGCAAAAGAGTGACGGATCTGAAGGAACGAAAAACGATAATACGTAAGTTTGGACGATGTTTTAAATGCTTAGAAAAAGGGCATTGTGCCCGTGATTGTAGAACTGGTAGTAAATGTAAGAACTGTAAGGGGGGTCACCATACCGCAATGTGTGAAGCTAAGATGAGCAAGCGCAATGAAGAAGAGCCTGCGCAAGATGAAACTGAGGCAGGCCAGGAAACTACATGTACGTTAGTAGAAAGTAATAGTAGGATTGCGCTCCAAACCGCACAGGCCTTAATAAGGGGGGGCAGTAGTGATAGGGTTAGAGTATTGTTTGATTCTGGAAGCCATAAATCGTTTGTAACGGCGCAAGTAGCACGCGCGCATGAGTTAAGCGTTGTTAGGAGGGAGTGGCTAAGCATAAGTACGTTTGGTCAGAAAACCACTAAGTCCGGATTGTGCGAGGTAGTTCTTATCGACCTGATTCCGGTCCGCGGTGGTAGGAATCTGACGCTGGAAGCTTATGTCGTGCCGGAGATTTCACGAATAAGCAACGAGCACGTGGAAGTTGTTAAGAAAAACTTCGCACATCTGCGTAATTTATGGTTTTCTGACGTATGTCGAACCAATGAGGAGCTCGAAATTGATTTGTTAATCGGTGCAGATTACTTATGGAAATTTCAGAGGGGCCAAACCATAAGGGGGGAGCCTGAGGAACCAGTTGCAATAGAAACTGAGCTTGGATTTGTATTAAACGGTCCCTTGAAAGCAAACGAGTTAAGAGATAGGGAGAGAATCGTAACAAATTTAGTGTCACAGCAGAAGGCAGATAATAGTAGCTTAGAGAACGAAGTTAAGAAGTTTTGGGATTTAGACTCGTTAGGCATCAGAATATATGACGAGGTGCACGAATTATTCGAGAATGAAGTTAGTTTTAACGACGGGAAGTATTCAGTAAAGTTGCCATGGAAACAGGGTCATGATCCCTTGCCCAACAACTACGCAAAAAGTCTGGCACGCATGCAAAACCAATTAAGGAAGTTGCGCAAAGACCCGGAGGTGGTTGCGGATTACGATGCAATAATCAAGGAGCAGTTAAAATCTGGTATAATTGAAGTAGTCCCTGCGCTAGAAAAGCCAAGCGATAAATTGCATTATTTGCCCCATCAAGCAGTTATTAGGAAAGATGCCGAGACCACGAAACTAAGAATTGTATACGATGCCTCTTCCAAGGACGGCAAAAAAGGAACTTCATTAAATGATTGTTTGCACACAGGACCGTCACTAAACCCTTTGTTATTTGACATACTTGTTCGCTTCAGGGAGAATAAGGTCGCACTTGTAGGTGATATAGAAAAGGCATTTTTAAACATTGAAATTGATCCAAAAGATCGAGATTGCTTGCGGTTTCTCTGGGTAGATGATTATAAGACGGAAAAACCGGAAATTATGGTATATCGTTTTTGTCGCGTTGTATTTGGGCTGAATGCGTCGCCTTTTTTATTAAATGCCACTATACGACATCATTTAAACAAATTTGTTGCGACTGATCCGCAGTTTGTAAGGAAAATGCTTGAAGGATTTTATGTAGACGATTTAGTTTCAGGAGGGAAGACGAGCGAAGACGCGCATGAATTATATAATAAAGCTAAGTTACGAATGGAAAGCGGAGGCTTTCGATTGCGAAAATAGAAAACAAATGACGCCCGGCTAAGAGAAAAAATAAGCGAGACTACTAAAGATGCGCTACCGAAGCATGCTGCTGTCGGAGAAGAGGATGAAACGTACGCTAAGTCTCAGTTAGTTGCCCGAAGTGGGATGAAGGGCGAAAAGGTTTTAGGTCTTGCATGGAACTTAGAGGAAGATAAGATCTATTTCAATTTCGAACACATTGCGCGTAAAAAAGAAAATTCAGTGCCAACCAAGAGGAGTCTGTTAAGTTTGCTAAGTAGTCTGTTCGATCCGTTGGGGTTGATCAGTGGAGTTATTGTAACTATGAAGATCCTTTTCCAAGATGTTTGTAAGACAAAGTTAGGTTGGGACGAAGAGTTTGGCGATGACACAAGGAAACGCCTAGATAAGTGGGTTAAGGACTTAGTAGCAACACGAGAGTTGTACGTTGATAGATGTTTATACGAATCGAGCATAGAAAATGTTGCATCGTGTTACTTACACGGATTTGCAGACGCGAGCAAGAAAGCTTATTGTGCCGTTGTTTATTTGGAAAGAGGGCCAAGCTTGCGCAAAATTAGTAGCGAGTAAAACCAGAGTAGCGCCGCTAAAGGAATTGTCGATTCCACGTCTGGAGAGTAATGTCCGCTAGGATACTAGCACAGCTTGTAAACACGATCTGCAGCGCGCTAAGTTCGCAAGTGAAGTTAGATGGCGTTAGGTACTGGCTTGATAGCAAAACAGCGCTATGTTGGATAAGAAATCAGGGCGAATGGAAACAATTTGTGCGTCATAGGGTAAATGAGATTTTAAAATTGACGAATAAAACCGAGTGGGCGCATGTCTCAACCAATGAAAACCCAGCAGATATAGGCAGTAGAGGGGTTCTCGCCTCACAACTCAAATCAAATCAGCTATGGTGGCACGGGCCGACTTGGCTGTTAGAAAATCCAGACGATTGGCCGCCTTATTCTGAAATTAGTGAAACCCCGGAAAGCTTGGTTGAGGAAAAGAAAAATACGGCGGCAACGGTTTTAGCGGTTAATTGCGATAGCGGTCTAGGGGCTGTTTTCGATATACGACGCTACAGTAAGCTAGGGAAGCTTTTGAATATCACAGCATGGGTAAGGCGAGCGATTGACAATCTTAAAAGAGTCTCTTCCAAAAGCGAACGTGAAACGTCCCAATTGACTGCGAATGAATTGAAAAGAGCTGAGATCGAATGGATAAAAACAGTACAATGCGTATTGCGTAAACAAGGCAATTACGATCAGTTAGTTCAAAGGTTAGGGTTAATAGAAGAAAATGGAATTTTGAGGTGTACCGGTAGGCTCGGAAATTCGGATTTAGAGCAAGATGGTAAAAGACCAATCTTGTTACCGAAACAACACAGGTTTACACAGTTAGTTGTAGAAGCATGTCACCATAGAGTACACCACAGCGGAGTTAGATCCACATTAGCGGAATTGCGCTCACGATTTTGGGTGCCAAAAGCTAGGCAATGTGTAAAAAAGATTCTGAGCGGGTGCGTTACGTGCAAGAAATTAATAGGCAAGTCTTATCAACAACCAGTAACTGCAGCGCTACCAGAGTTTCGAGTAACCAAAGCGCCACCATTCTCGCGGGTGGGAGTAGATTTTGCAAGACCACTTTATGCTAAACAAACAAACGGAGAAATGGAGAAAGTGTATATTACGCTGTTTACATGCTGCGTCACGAGAGCCTTGCATTTAGAATTAGTAGACGAAATGTCAACAGAGGCTTTCCAGCGTTGCTTGCGAAGGTTTACAGCGCGGCGTGGGATGCCCACACTGATAATTTCAGATAATGCAAAAACATTCAAAGCAACCGAAAAGGACTTGAGTAAGTCAATTAATCATCCAGAAGTAAAGTCATTCATGAAGAATGCAAGAATAGAGTGGAAGTTTAATTTAGAAAAATCCCCATGGTGGGGTGGGTTCTTTGAGAGGATGGTAAGAAGTGTAAAAGAGTGTTTAAGGAAAACGTTAGGTACAGCTAGATTAACGAAGGAAGAATTAGCAACAGTGATAGTTGAAGTCGAATGTACGCTCAACTCTAGGCCCTTGACATACGAGTACGACCAGGTAGGGGCGGAAGTGTTAACGCCATCACATTTGATATTCGGTAGAAGGATAAACTCATTGCCTGATGTAGTAGAAGAGCCAGAGGAAGCTTTAGGAGAGAAAGAATATACGTCTAGGTTTAGGTACCTTACGAATAGGTTAGAACATTTTTGGAACAGGTAGAGAAAAGAGTATTTGATTAGCCTTAGAGAGTTTCATAGGACAAAGGGCAGGGAGTCAGCGACTGCGCCACAGATTGGAGAACTAGTTATAGTGGAGGACGAAGATAGAAAGAGATGTGAGTGGAAAATGGGGATGATAGTTGAGTTAGTCAGAGGAAGAGATGACGTGATTAGAGGAGCGAAGGTTAAAATGGCTTCGAAGGGACGACCGACATACCTATCCAGGCCAGTTCAAAAATTGTACCCGCTAGAGATAAAAAGCCCAATGGGAGGGGGTAGGGTAGGTACTGCGCGCAAAAAATGTGCTGGCGCAGAAAACAACAAATCAAAGAGAAGCACTCCTCAGAGGAAGGCAGCGCTAGATGCGAAATGTAAATTTAAGTTAATGGATGCTTGACTCGTAGTGTCAAGCGGGGGGAGTGTGTTGTGGAATTTAGTTAACGCGTGGTTGAGCACACCAACCATAAGAATAGTCATTTACATAGTGCGCGCAGATATAGTGTTAGGGTCGTAAATTGTATATGTATTGTAAAAGGAATTGTTATGTGATGTTAATAGAATAGTGTAGTATAATATAACATTGGAAATGAAGGTTCGTGGTAGCACGTTGTAGCAACCGCAAAACCAGTAATAACGTAAACGGACGCAAATGTGGGCTGTAAGGGAGAAAAAAACACAGAAACATCCTGCATGTGGTTCGGTAAGAGATGCGTCAGAGAAATGCATCATTGTTTGGTAAAGCATCCTGTTTTAGTATTATAAATATAAGTTAAAATCATTGTTGTAAGTTAGTTGTGTATTAGAGCGTGAATTGTTAATTCCTGAATAAATGTTAAATTATATACAGTCCCAGTGTGTGAGATTGTGGACCAGCGAAGCGGAAAATCAGCCTTGTTTGGAGATTTTCAACAGATATTTGGTTTAGACAACTTTTTTAGTCCAAGGCTGTAAAATTCTAACATTATTTTTCATTCTCTTCAAAATCTTGCTGTCTAACTTGATTTTGAATTTACCTAAACTGTCTGGAGACGTCTTTTTTAATTTCAAGCGCAATTAAATTTTCTCTTGAGCATTTATTATTGCCTTTGTCATTCAGAATTTCTCTGTTTTTCATCTCGTAATGGATCGGCGGTCGAAAACATCTCGGTCTGATATTTCACAGTACATTTTATTGGATGCGTTCAACCAAGTTGAAAGCAATACTCATGCATATAATCATGGCCTACCCAGGCTTCCGTAGTACACATATTCTGTGACTAATTTGGTACTCGATCTAGTTATTATATTTCAAAATTTAACAATATATCATGTTGCTAAATTGGGTATGGGCAATCGACGATTCACAGAAGATTCCCTATTCCTCTCTTAAAGATAGCCCTCGTTTTAAGTTAACCTGAAAGCAGCCATTTAGCTCGAGTAAACTCTTAGCAAGCGTCTTCTTTGAATATGAACGAAACATAATACTTCTAGTTTCAACAAAGCTAGACATCGGGCGAAACCTCAAACAGGAAAGGCCGCCTTAATTGATTTGTCCGTGCTAAATATTCCAACGAATTTATCATCCTTGGAGAGATTCGTAGCGTTGCAAACGCGAGAAATGTGCTTGAGGATAACAAATAACAATATGAACGTGCAAATGCGCTCACAATTTCTATACATTGGCCGGCTGACATTTGATTTTGCCATACGTTTCTATCAAACGACGTAAATGTAGTATCGAAATGTTCGTCAGAACGAAGCGATGATGCTTAGGTAATTCACGTGTACACTTACAAAAATCTAGTAGTCCATGCCGAAAAGCCGAATATCCGAATGGAATACGGTCGGATAATAAGGGGCATATTTTAAGTATAAACGAAACATGATATCTTTTATCACAACAAAGCTAGACATCTGGCGAAACCTCACACTACTGTCTGCCACCTTGGTCTGCGCGCTAAATTCGTGGCGTTGCAAACGCGAGAAATGTACTTCAAGATAAAGAATTGGATATTATAATGTTTATAATCTATCGATCCTTCGAAAACGTGCGAAAATTCTAACAAAAGTTACAAAGCAGGCGACATATCAACGTGTGAATGCGCTAACAATTTCTATATGCTGCCATACATTTTCTATCAAAGCTCGTAAATATAATTGAAATGTTCATCGGGACGAATGAGTACAAGCGTATTCTTAGGGCTGCTTTCCACTGTCGCGCGTTTTTGCACTTACGTGCACGTGCGTAAAACCTTCTAAGTTGTTGTATAATCAATTTTATGCCGGAAAAAAATACACCAAATATCAAACGAATTCAACCCTGTGCATCTATTCATTCGTTGATTTATTGATTACTTGCGGTATATATGCGTACATACAAAAATGCGACATCTAAGTATATAATCAACAACTAAAATTCAAAGTGAACTAATTGGCAGAGATAATTTTGAACCACACTATAATACCAGATAAATTTTACTCCAAAGAGTTTATAGATCAGGCAACGGAAACTACGCCATAAGTAAATAGCAACCAAAATAGCAAACACTGAGATGCAGGGATTAAATGCTCTATAGAAATTGGGTTAATAAACTAAACAGCCTTTGTACAGGGTCCTTCGTAGAGAAGTTCCTAAATAGCCTTGTTAGTTGCAGAGTTTAGTGACAGGAGCGGATTAAAAGGCTAAAATCTTACCTGTAGTTAATATTCGCAACTGATCTTTTACAATTTTTTAAAAAGAACCGTTCAGCAGATTTCTAACAGCGTTATCGCCAACAACGAAGTGTTGTGTTGCAACTGGAATCTCAAGTATGGGAAATTTGCTTAGAAATTCGTGTGGGCGTACTGGTTTGTGCCACTGATCTGAAAAATCCTGGATCGCGCATCAGGTATGCATAATATTATTGCAGCCATCTTGATGTGACAACTTTTAATTTACTGAGGGTGGTAATGCTGATGTACGATTTGAGATCGAGAGTTTCGGGGGAATTCCTGACTTCTATTAGGAAACGTAAAGCTGGTTTCCACTGGGCGGGATTTCAACCGAACGAAATTTTTCGTCTGATATTCTTTTCAATTATGAGTATTTGACCGTAGCGGCCTTACGAAAATATTTTATAGAATATTCTACTGAGATATTCTATAGAATATCCTATAGATTATTCTAAAAGATTTTGGTACTAATTCTAAGAATATTCTATGGGGTATTCTATGGAACATTCAATGGAACATTCAATAAAAGTATATAAAATATTCTATTGACGATTCTATAGAATAGAATATGCTATAGGATATGCTATATACAGTAGCATATTCTACAGAACATGCAATTTTAATGTTACACAAGATGTGCTATTTACTCTTCTGTGCAATATTACCAATATATTGTGTCTAGCCACGAGAAAACACCAAAGATGGAAATCACTTCATGAATAAAAATATATCTATTAGGAACACTGCCACTAGCTGCATATGTGTCAGTGCATCAAAAGTTAATTGTGGTTATTGTGCAACATATTGAATACTGTTTCATCGTCTAGTGCAATTACGTTTGATGTATTTTGGTAATATTAAACTATACGTAGGATATTTTTAAAATGTTTGTCTGACCAGTAGCTCATTACATTTTTTTTCACAGGATTTTTTAGCATTCTCAACCTCTACAATGTTACTGATTCTGCGTATCATTACTTGTTGCATTTCTACACTGAGACAATGACTTCAGATGCAGGACAACCATATCTGTTTGAAACATATTCTACATTAAGGAATATGACAGGAAAATTATTATGGTCTATGCTGTGAGTGCTGGGATAGTATACATTATACAATAGCTAACTGGAAAAAGTTACCAGCTTTCCGCATATGCTATTGACTTTTCCTGGTCTAGTTGTGCCTTGTTAGCATCCTTCTCCTTGAAAGCATTGGAGGTCTTTCCTGTCATGGAGTGTGTGGACAGAACTTCCCGGCTCCAAAACATACCCATAATCGAGTACAACAAATCCTTTAAATTGCCTTTTCCTTTTAAAACCTTTTGTTGACTCTTTATTAATTGAGACACTAAGACTGTAACTAACCCTTTCAAGAAATGTTTCCAACGATATTAAGCAACGACTCCCGAGCTACAATTTTCGACTTAGCGCAACACAAAACCACGCTTTTCTCTCCTCTCCAAAGCTAACTTATGCATAATTAATTTATGCAGCATACATTATAAGGCTCCCCTAAGTTGTTGAGTGTTATCGGAGCAATTTACGAACATTATGCCTAACAGTAACAATAAATATAAATTTATATATCGTGAATACGAGTTCACTTATCGTTTTATGGTTCCTCGTCGGGGAACCCCGGTCTTCTTCATCCTTATCTTCTTCAGCTATCAACTTGATGAGTCACCAGCTGAGTATCAACAGTACGAGTTCGTTGATGGGTCTTTCTATAATCGTTGCCGCGTGGATACGTTTTCCCTTGTTATCTCGGTCATGGTCTCCGACTTTTAATTTCTCCTTTCGTACCAGTGCATCTTCGTCCCGGAAGGTCTCTTGCACGCGGGCCAACTGCCATTGATTTCGTGGTTGGTCGATGTTTTTCACGATAACGATGTCTTCAACGTGTAGATTTCTTTTAGGGCGTAGCCGCTTCTGGCGCGTTTGAAGAAAACTCTTTACTCCGCTGATTTCAAAACATGTTTGCTAGGTGTTGCAGGCGACGCCATCATTTTCGTACATACAAATCGTTGGAAAACCCCGGGAGGAGGCAGGACTACGTTGGTCTTCGATGTCAGTAAATGATTAGCAGTTAAGTATATAAGTGAACTGCTGCTTTCGGTTGTTACGGGGCGACGACTATTCACGATGGCTTCTGCTTCTATCATGAGGGTTTGCAACAGTTCGTCATCCAACTGGGTGCCGTGCCGTTCAAGGAGGCCTGATAATACGCTGCGGACTGTTTGGATCTGTCGCTCGCATGTTGCTCGCATGATGTGGGTTCATCTTGGCATGGACCCAGTCGCATTGGTCTTCTAGCAGGCGCTTTCGTATTCGTTTGTCGTCCATCTCCAAAAGTGCCTTCTTAAGCTCAGTTTGACAGCTCACAAAGTTAGTCCCGCGATCCGATGTCAGCTGTCTCACTGGGCCTCGTCTTCCCACAAAACGTTGATACGATATTGGTGAATGAATCGGTGTCCATAAAATGCGCGATCTCGAGATAGATAGCACGAGACGCCATGCAAGTAAAGAGCACTCCGTATCTCTTTACATTCTTTCGACTCTGTTTCACGATCCATGGACCAAAGTAGTCGACGGCACTGTATGTCAATGGCTGGCTCGGCTCGACCCGATCTTTGGGTGGAGCCGCCATTTTTTTTATCTTGAGTGGCCGTGCGTAGTTTGTGACACGTGGCGCATTTAGATATGTGTAGTGAGTCTAGTGACTGCCGAAGTACCTCCGACGATCCATAATCCGGAAGACCGAATAGCGGCGAGGGTCATACCACGTCCTTGACGGTGGGTCTGGAGATGGTGATGGCATAGAATTAACTTAGTGACATGTTCTTTCTTCGGTAAAGGATATGATGCTTCGCGTTGTCCGGTAATTCTGCATTTCGTATTTGACCACCGACTCGAATGGGACCGGGTCGATGAACGGGTCGAGGCGGGACAGAATACTTGCTCGTTTTGTGACTCGATTTATCTTTCTTGTTGCGTCGCAGCTCCCTTTCGCTGCTCTGAGTATCACCAATTCTTCTTTAAAGGCTTTCTTCTGGACATTTCTCACTATCTCTTTCTCTGCGTCGAGGATATCTTCAACCGTAACTATTTCGATCATTGGGTTTGAACGTGGCGAGTTTTCCTCCGAGGATGTTGGATCTTTTCCTTGATTACCGTCGCCGACGGAGGCTTTTGAGATTTTGATAATAGTTTCCCTTTAAGGCGCAAGCACAAGACAATCGACCTCTTGGCTTTGTGCCAATTGGACAGATGTCGGTCGGATACAATCGGCTATAACAAATTCTTCTGGAATTTTCATAGTAAAAAGACATATTTTCTTGACCACCGGATCATCGGGTGACAAAACTCCAGTTCTTCGTCGATGTTCCTGTGATTGGGTTCCAAACGGTCCCACAAGAATTTAGGGTCGTTCCACCACTCTGTTTTTGAGACGAAATCGTTCGCTGTCATGCTGCGGGAAGCATAGTCGGCGGGGTTGGACTTCGTGTCAATGTACCTCCATTGATCAGGGGATGTAAGCTCTCGTATTTGCTGTACTCGGTTAGAGAGAAAACGACGGGCCTCTTTCGCGATGTACCAAAGGAGGACCCTACTCTCCGTCCAGAAATATATCTTCATTTCGTCATACCGCAGTTCTTTTCGCAGGAATGAGCCAACTTTAGCAGATACCAGAGGTGCAGTGAGCTCCAGCCGGGGAATGGTTACTTGCTTAAGGGGTGCTACCCGTGATTTGGCCATTACCAAGACGCAATGTATTCTGTCTTGATTGTCTGTTAGCCTCAAGTATGAGCATTAGCCGTATCCCAACGTGCCAGCGTCAGAAAAATTGTGCAATTCCACGGACGTGACTTGACTAAAATCGTGAGTTGTAACGTCTGGGGAGTTGGAGGTTACTCAGAATGTCTAGGCTAATGTGCCATTTCGTCCAACTCTGGGCAAAATCGCTTGGAAGATTTTCGTCCCAGTCCGCTCCTTGTCTACATAGCTCATGGAGTATTCTCCAAAAGGCGAATGGCGACAGCAGGCCAGAGGGATCAAATATGGAGTTTACGGTGGATAATACTCTGCGCCTAGTCGGGAGGCGATTAGATGGTTCGTAGTTGAATCGCAGCGTGTCCGACTCGACGCACCATTGAACACCTAGAGCCCTTTCCACGGGAAGTTCGTCGTCGTCCAGATCTAAGTCCTTAAGATCACTTGCTCTTTCTTCTGGTGCGATTGATTGCAGAACTTCTTTCCTGTTCATAACTACTCTATGTAGGTGAAATCCCCCTCGTTCACATAAAGTTCGCGTCTGCATGATCAAATCAATGGCTTCGCCTGGTGATGGGACTGACTTTAGTCCATCGTCCACATAAAAGTCATCTCGCACGAAGCTGGTGGCCGTTTTCCCGAACTCTTCCTCGTACGCGTCTACGATAGCTTTTAGGCTGACGTTGGCACATCTGGTCGAGGTTACCATTTGCCACCAAAGGAAGCGCAGCAGATATCTGTGCTCACCATTGACGTATACCTGGTGAAACATGTCTTTGATGTCGCATGTTGTTCGAAATGACGTAAGCGCGAGTATCGTGTATCCCACGCGTGAAAAAACTTGCTTTTGGGAATGCCTTCGGGGCGAACAATACTGTAACCTTGTGTCATGTATTTTGTATAATTTTCGTTTATTTTATTAAACCTGAAATCAAAACTGAATGAAGATACTATTTACAACATGGTCCTTCGAAGAGCCGGATAGTTGGTTCGAATTTCGTAGAAATAGAATGTCTTTAGATAAGTTGAAGAGAGTACGAAGAGGGCATCGTGCCTTCGTGACGAAAACAATTCAAGGTGTAAACGAAGTTTGCCAGTCTTACAATGGAACGCTATTGGAAAAGGAAAGACTACAAAGCTGGAAAAGTACGTTAGCTGATAAGAAGAGTGTTTTAAAACAGCAAGATGATGCAATAATGGAACAGTTAGACAAGGACGAAGACATTAACGGTGATATTTTTTGGAAAGCAGTGAATTTGGTGAGTCAATTGCTAGAGCACTTGTTAGAATTGATCTAACATTAACCAGTACTTAAAGTAACGGACAAGGAAGTAGTAATTTGAGTAAAGCATCAACTGGCTCAGAGCCATCAGTGAAGTCAAAATTGCCAAAACTATCATTGAAGCGATTTTCGGGTGATCCCAAACTTTGGCATGCATTCTGGGACAGTTTTTCAGCAGCAGTTCATGAAAACGATGAGGTGTCTAAAGTTGACAAATTTAACTATTTAAGAAGTTTACTGGACGGTGTAGCGGCATCTGCAATAGAAGGATTTTCACTGACTAAAGAGAACTATGATGCTGCAATAAATTTACTAAAGGATAGATTTGCAAATACTCAAATCATTGTGTCCAGCCACATGGACGCCTTGTTGAAATTAAATGCCATAAAAGATATAAGTGATTTGCATGGAATTCGTGGTCTACATGATAAAATTGAAACCCATGTTAGAAACCTACAGAATTTGGGTATCTCATCAGAATCCTATGGCAGCCTATTGATTCCTGTCATTGTCAATAAGTTGCCTGAGGAATTACAATTAGTAATAAGTAGGAATTTGGAGAGGAACAATTGGGATGTAGAGCAATTTATGGAGCAGTTCAAAACTGAGTTAGAAGCCAGAGAGAGATGTAGCATGATTAATAACTCACATTCTACTATGAAAAAGGACGGTGTTAATCGGAATAAGGGCAAATTCCCTCCTACTTCTTCCACCTTGTTTACTGGTAAAGAACAACACTATACCCCCAACTGTGTGTATTGTAATCAACAACATTCATCACTCAAATGTAATGTTGTTACCAATGTGTCAGCTCGTCGCGCCATTCTAAGAAGGAAGGGAAAATGTTTTTCATGTTTAAAATCTGGTCATCTAGCCAAGAGTTGTCCATCAAAATTTAACTGCCACAAGTGTAACAAACGACACCACACATCAATCTGTGAAGTAGAAACCGACAAACCCAAGGACGGACCCCCTGAGACAATGAGTGTGGGAACTTCAACAATGTATGTGAACAGTAGCACAGCAGTGTTATTGCAAACAGCCCAGGCATCAGTCGGTCAACCTGGAAGTTCTGGGCGTAAAGTGAAAGCGAGGATTGTATTTGATTCTTGCAGTCAACGTACCTATGTCTCGCAACGTTTAAAGGAAAACCTCGATCTTAGTCTTGTTGGATAGTCTGGACAAAGCTCGGATGAGTATTATCCGGACCTGTGGTTACCAGCAGCCCAGAGAACCCTCAACAAACATCTGTGAACTTGACCACCACCCACGTTCTTCGAGTTGAAACCTCGACTGTACAACCTGAGAATATACCAAACATAAAGAATGAACTTGTTAAATTCTGGGATTTAGAAACATTGGGGATTCAGGAAAAGGAACCGTCTGTTTACGACAAGTTCACACAAGAAGTGCATTTCAATGGTGACCGGTATGAAGCAAAACTGCCTTTTAAGGATGAACACCCACTCCTTCCAGACAACTACAGCATTTGCGAGAAGCGACTAGGGTCCTTGATTAAGCGTCTCCGTGCAACACCATCTGTTTTGCAGGAATACCATAAGGTTATTGAAGATCAACTTAACACTGGAGTAGTCGAACTAGTCGAAGAAGTTGATGGGAAGTCACCTGGACATGTTCATTATTTGCCACACAAGGAAGTTGTGAGAAATGATAAAGATACGACTAAATTAAGAGTCGTATATGATGCGTCGGCGAAGAAAACCGGTCCTAGCCTGAATGATTGCCTTTATGTTGGCCCCCCACTTACACCATTAATATTCAACATCCTTACCCGATTCCGAATTCATCCCGTGGCAGTAACAGCGGACATAGAGAAGGCCTTTCTGAATATTGCTATAGCACCAGAGCACCGAGACTACCTGAGATTCCTATGGGTTGATGACCCGTCGAGTGAAGCTCCCCAGATTCAAGTGTTACGATTTACAAGAGTAGTTTTTGGACTTACATCTAGCCCATTCATTCTAAATGCCACCTTAAAACATCACCTTAACCAATATGCAATCGTAGACCCACAGTTTGTCGAAGAAGTTCTGCGATCGCTTTATGTTGATGACCTTGCCTCTGGTTCGCGAGATGTGCCATCTGCAGTGCAACTTACAACAAAGGTGAAAACCCGGTTATCAGACGGAGGCTTCAACATGCGGAAGTGGAACAGTAATTCCCAAGAATTGATCGAAACACTCCAGGAGAACTCTACATTTTCTAAAGCGGAAGCATCAGTTGATCTCGAAAATTATACCACTTCTGATGTAGCTCACGGATATGACACAGTGAACGAAGCCAGCTCTCGCGTTCTCGGACAGATCTGGAACACATACACTGATGAACTAATAATGGACTTCGCTAAAGTATTATCTGATGCCGATCTCAACAACGTGACCAAGAGAATCATTCTTAGTACAGCAGCAAAGTTTTTCGATCCGTTAGGACTTATTTCGCCAGTCATTTTGATGTTCAAATTGCTATTCCAACAACTGTGCAAATCGGAAGTAGGTTGGGACGAAACATTGAACGAGGACATGATCAAAAACTGGCAATCGATCGTAAAAAGTTTGGAAGATTCGAGCAATTTCTCCCTGAATAGATGCTACTGCAAAGAGTTGTTCGCGGATAAAACGAAGTCTATCCAATTACACGCTTTTGGTGATGCATCGGAATCGTCCTACGGCGCGTGCGTTTACTTGCGATGTGAACACGAGGCTGACGTACATTGTAATCTAATCGCGTCGAAAACACGAGTTGCACCCATGACGAACCAAACCATACCGCGTTTGGAACTGTTATCTTGTTTATTAGCTTCACGATTACTCAACAGTGTGAAAGAAGCAATCGGGGAAATTCTTGAAATTGAATCCGATAACTTGTGGTCTGATTCAACAACAGCTTTACATTGGATTAAGAACACTGATAAAGAGTACAAGGTGTGGGTACAGAATCGAGTTTCAGAGATAAGGAAGTTAACATCGGTAGAAACCTGGAGATATTGTCCAACACAATTCAATCCTGCAGACGTGGCATCTCGGGGTGCGTTAGCCACTCAGCTGATCAACGATGAGAAGTGGTGGCATGGACCTAGTTTTCTCCAGAACCCACAAGAATTATGGCCTGTTCAGCCGGGCAACGAGTCTAAGGACAATCCTGATTATTGTCAAGAGTTAAAGTTGAGCTCTACTAAGTCAACCACAGCACTAGTTACGATCGGAAGTCAACCAGAGCACAACCTCGAAGAGTTAATCGATCCTTCTAGATACAGCAGAATTGGAACAATCTTACGAGTTACGGCGTACGTTATTAGATTTGTTCGGAACCTACAAAGACGTCAGCGGAAGTCGACTGCAGCGGAACGGAAGGGTTCTCTTACGGCAGATGAGATAAACATAGCTGAAAAGATGTGGATTCGACAATTACAATCAACCTTACCGAACATGAAGGATTACAAGAAAGTGAAAGAGTCACTCTCCTTGTTCGAAAACGAAGACAAAATCATCCGTTGTCGTGGGCGTATCGACGCGTCACCCTTACCTTACGGAACAAAATTCCCGATACTTTTACCCAGCGACCATTACATCACCCGGTTGATTATCATGCAGAGCCACGAGGACGTGATACACAATGGTGAACGAGAGACATTGACACAACTGAGATCAAAATTCTGGGTCACAAAGGGACGTCAAGTCGTTAAGAAAATCATATCGAAGTGTACCGTTTGTAGGAAATTGGAAGGAAAGAGTTATGGAACTCCAGCCAGTCTCGCTTTACCGGACTTTCGGTTAAGTAATGACTTTGCTTTTACCAGAATCGGAGTGGACTACGCTGGTCCGTTTTATGTTAGAGACATCTACACGCAAAGCAAGGACATGCATAAGACATATATCGCTTTATACACTTGCGCGAGTAGTCGAGCAATCCACCTGGATTTAGTTCCTGACAACACGACCCAGTCTTTCGTGAAAAGTCTCAAGCGCTTTATTGGAAGAAGAGGAATACCCTCACTTGTAATTTCTGACAACGCGAAGACCTTCAAAGGCGCTGAATTGAGGAATTTCATCGCGGTCAAAAACATCAGATGGCAATTTATTGTCGAGAGATCCCCCTGGTGGGGCGGGTTTTACGAACGGATGGTGAGGTGTGTTAAACGATGTTTAAAGAAAGTGTTGAGCAATGCCCGTTTGACTTACGAGGAGTTATTAACATTGTTAATCCAGATTGAAGGGGTTCTTAATTCACGTCCGCTAACGTATGTCAGTAACGAAAAGGATGAACCGCTGACCCCCTCTCAGTTAGTAATCGGACGGCGGATAGTTTCGGTACCTTCAGAACTCCAAGATGACGTGAAGATTCAAGCGCGAAATGATGCGATTAAGCGAGATAAATATCTCAAAACAGTATTAGGACATTTCTGGAAGAGATGGAGTTCAGAATACTTAACCCAGTTACGTGAGCACCATCGGCCGAGCAAAAGAGACGGACCTGTTATCAACGTCGGAGATGTCGTATCGGTTAAAGAAGACAATGTTAAGCGATTGAATTGGGAAATGGCATTAGTGGACGAACTGATCCAAGGAAAAGACGGAAAATCACGAGCAGCAGTTGTAAGGATGATCGGCAAGGACGGAAAGGTAACACGGCTACGACTACCCCTACAGAAGTTATACCCTATTGAATTACAATCAGAGTTACCAGATGAGAAAAAGAGTGAATTTCCAATCACGTTCGTGAAGGAAGCCAAACAGGAGAACATTGACATTTAATTAACTAAGTTATGTAATATAGAGTTGTGTTGATAGACTTTTCCCCGTCTATCAAGGCGGGAGTATGTTCGAAATGACGTAAGCGCGAGTATCGTGTATCCCACGCGTGAAAAAACATGTGCTTTTTGAGAATGCCTTCGGGGCGAACAATACTGTAACCTTGTGTCATGTATTTTGTATAATTTTCGTTTATTTTATTAAACCTGAAATCAAAACTGCATGAGTGAAGATACTATTTACAACAGAAGTAACCCATCGAAGTTCCCTTTTTGCCACAAATCCATGCGCCGAGACAGACAAGTCACTCGATTTGAATCTCGGTTTTTGTTAGAGAAGATCAGGCATGATCATAGTAATTTTTAAAGAAATACCATGCAAGATCTCCGAGTTATTATTGCAAGTGTTAATCAGTTTTTCCAGTTCCCTAACGACTATGACTTTCCAGTATCTCCACTGGGCAACATAAACAGATTTTTGCGCCTAAAAACCACCTCTTCCTAGGCTACGTTAACAACTTGCTTCAGATCGTCTTTAGTCGGCTGCCCCAAACACATGGTGATCTGCATGATCCCATAGTGATTAATAACTAATTATAATAAGCAATAATAATAATAAGTAATGTGATCACATGGTGATTAATAACTTCTTATTAACCAAGCGCGAGGTCCGATATTTCTCGGTAAAAAACCGAGCAAGCGAGGTTAATAAAAAGTTTATTATATGGCATAAAGCATGCATTTGCACTTGAAACAAACAAGAAATTCATGAATTTGTAACAGTAGCCTGGTATGCATTTGACAAAAACAAAAACAAAACTTAGTTGAATTATTTAATAGTTTACCAAAACTGTCTGGAGACGTCTTATGAATTTCAAAAGCAATTAAATTTTCTCTTGGGCATTTATTCGTGCCTTTTTGATTCAGAATTTCTCTATTATTCATCTCCGCTAACGGCGGTCCATCACGAGAAAGTAATGGACCGCTGAAAATTCTTCTCAGCCAATCACTGAGCTCCATTTCACCGGAAGTGACGCTTGCCATATGATAAACGTGTTTAATGACTTTACTCAGTTAACCTTGAATTTTATCATATTGACTTAATTCAGTATCAACACAACAAAATGTTACCATAGCAACGTATAGTATATCGTATAGTATATAATACTAGTATACGATGGGGGGTCAATGCCATGATTTATATGATTTTAGTATTTTGCACAAGTGAATATTACAAACCCTACACTTTGATGGGTCATATTTGAAGTATTATTACCTGAAGGTGATCTACTCACGTGATTGGTCAAAATCAATGACTTCGTCTCGGTGAATATTTTCCGATAATCACCTCGCCTTCGGCGAATAATTGTTAATTAATATAAATTTCGCAGTGACTATTGATTTTCCTGCATTCTGATTGGTCAAGATTCGCTGTCTCTGGAATGATAGTCACTGGCCGGTGACTATAGACTTTTGTTGTGGTTTTTCAACTAAGAAATTTCGCCTTCGGCTCAGTGAATATAGGATTTTATTTTTTTACAAATCAGCAGCGGGCGGAATCCTAGCCTTTCCTGTAATCTGTTTAGCTGCGTCAGCGGGCGGAATTTTACGATATCTGTTCACGGTCCGGAATCCTATATTTCATGCTCCAGCGAAAGCGTATTTGTTTTGTGTGTTTTTTATTCGCAATCTTTTGATTTTTTAATTTTAAAATATATGAACCAAATGATTATCACGATAAATTGAAGTGAGTTTTAGTAAATTAAATGAATTAGGTTTTGATTGTTGATGCATGTTTTTGTCGCCATTGCTGTGTCTGACTACGATACGAGCGAACGCCGCTTTTTGTAAAAAAATAAATACGTTAAATAATACCGTTTTGGTCGGTCCGGATAGAAAAATATTTCCCCCTCGGTTTCAAAAACGTCCCTCGGTCTCAATTAACGTTCGATTGACGCCTATGAAGGGGGGAATGATTTGGACATCTACTGCAATAGCCATTGAACTAAAAAAACACTGGAACGATGGCTTAAAGCCAAATTGAAGGCCGCCATGCACGTAAAGTGTCGAATATGCACCCCATTTTCGTTGGATGCTTTCTCATGATTTAAAGTGGCAATTGCATGGAATAGAATAAAGTGTATAAAGTTTCAAACGTACTTAGCTTTTGTAAATAAAAACACTTTTAGATTGGAAATTAATTTTCAGCATTATTCTGTTACTGTAGAAAGTTGAACCTTTTTTTCGGCGCGTTTAAACTTGTGCAATATTTCCGAGATGAGACTGTTACTCGGCTCGAACGTTTCCCCCTTAAATGGACGTAAAACCCTACCAACTATATGTAACATAAATCTCAAGCTTAGAAACTGATGCTTTCGGAAGGAAAATATTTTCACCAGCAGTGTACTAATGTTATTTATGTGAACACCGCAGTTTATTGGGGTGATATCACTGGGTGATGTTTGGCAGTTCCAAGTATTATGAAGAGTTCAGCGGCTATGCCTTCGAGCGCGAGTGCGCAGAAAAATGGTGTCGCAGCGTCATTTAATCCCAGTCATCGATCTGATTGGTTGTCTCTCTTTTTGCGCGTTCTGTGTGGAGTTCTGATCGGTAAAGCGATCAGGGGCTCGAATACGGGCTATTCAATTAGCTAATTCAAAATCTATATCTGAATTCCCATTGATTGTTTTTTTTTTCTGATCGATCAGTGTGATCTGACCTTGGCCTTCGCATGCACAGCAAGGTTCTTTTGCCTTTCTGGTCGACGTGGTTGTTCGTGATCGAAGCTCTGACAGCGCAACGAAAACTCAAAGAATTAACTCGCAGTCTCAAGACTTGAATTAAATCGGTAAGAAACATTTTATTATTATAAAGACTATTTTTGTATCTGCGCGCTCTGCGCTCGCAGATACATTGCTATCGGGTTTGAAAGTTTGTTAGGTTAGTTTTGTTGTCCGCAGCCAATGAGGGACGACGTACTTAAACAGCAGCCAATCGATCAACGTTTTAGATCCGTATGCATTTTTATGCGACAAAAGTGAACAAAACCACAGAGGAGAGATTGACAGAGAGTCGACTCTTCCGATTTAATGTTGAAACGAGTGTCCCCGAGTTTTGCCAAATATCACGTCATTCCCACGTCATTTCCACGCGCCACGCAACCACCCGATTCTCTTCTGGTAAGCTCTTTTGGCCACATTTCAATACAAAAGTATAGAAAAAACGCTGTTCGATAGGTGAAAAATTGATTTTTTTTTAACTGGGTCGGATTATCTTCATTTTTGGACTAAAATTTGGGAGATTAACGGTGAGTTGTTTGTTTTGTTGGGTTTAAATGATCGTGCTGTTTTTAAAAGCAATATTAAAATCCTTGTTTTGTAAGTGAGTTCTGATTACTCTTGTCGGCTGCCATATTTTTACCCGAATTGTCAAATTGTGTTTGCCAAAGTGAATCGTTGTCATAGCTGCTTTTTTACTGTTTGTCAACTAGCAGCAGAGCGTTTGCATATTTGTGGGATAACAATATAGGACGAATTTCAAAGAAAACTTCTAAATTCGCGTTTGAATTTTAAAATATCGACAAAATACATAGCAAAACATTTCAAAACAAAACAGAGTTTTAGGCGTTATATAACTTTAACTCGCAGAGGATATCAGTTTTTTAATAATTAGTACCATTTGATGATACAAATATTCACTGAAAACATTCATAATTATGTATCTTTACTTCTCAAGCAGAGTTGCTGTTCGATTACATACTTTTTCAGTCATTTTTCAAACTTTTTTGATCAAATTTTCACCAAGCATATCATCCCTGGGCTTTCTAAAGAAAATATATTTTAGCTCTTACCTTACACTACAAAAAACGTTTGGAACATTTCAGCCAAAGCGGTTAAATTTTTTTAAATTGCATTTTTACTGGCAAAAATTCCATTTTTCCTTATTAAAAATGTGCTCGGAGCTTACCAGAAGGGAATCGGGTGTAAACGCTTACTAGCGCGCGCGAATAAGTGCGAATAAAAAAGTGGGGACGCGTGGAGCCGCGAGTCGACTCTCTGTCCATCTCTCCTCTGTGACAAAACCGTTCAATCAGTATTTGTGGATACAAAATGGCCGCAGCGAAAATCGAAAGGTGGATTTGGATTTTTAATTGCACTTAGTTGCAAAATTCGCTTATAAATAATGTTGAAATAAATTATAAGAGTTGAGTAGGCTGGTATTCGTTCAACTATTTTACTTTATTTGCCCGGGGTCTCGGCGGTCGAGCGAAATATGTATGTTATCTGGTTTCATATTATTGAATTTATTTAAACAGCATTGAAGCATAAAATTATTCAGAGACAATTTTATAATGTATTTTACGCACCTAACCATGTCGTTAACTTTTATAATTATCATATTTTAATATGATATAATATATATTTTTATATTTTAGTTGCTGAATACTTGTAGAGTATCCCAAAAGAAATAAGCTAGGCGTACAATATTCATGTATTTTACTCGAAAATTAAGACCCTATGAACCTCTAAAGTTTGCCTTATAAAACCTGCCTTAATTTGAAGATTGATTTGCCTTATTGGAACCTGTAGAATTTGCAAGAAGCCTGCTTTTTCAATTTCCTGCAAATTAAAATTCTGTTTGCAATCAGGCAACTACTATCAGTACATAATTTGACAAATTTAGCTTGTATGAAAATCAGATGTTCAAAGGATGAGTTGTGACATATTTTTTTTAGCATGTCATATGGTTAGTCAATTTACATCTAATTCTAGTCATGCAAACTAAACCTGTCTAGTATATATTTGCACTTTAATTAATGTGTCAATTGCAGTGTTTACACCACAAGCCTAGGTCTGCTCATATATGAATATGCCTCAATAAGTATCCAAATATTACCATGCATAAAGTCACCAATAAAACAAAATAGCTACATGTATAAGTTATGTTAGTCCTGTAACTATAACCAATTTTTATAGTTATTTATCTAAATTTTAATGCCCCAAT